ACGCGCGCGTGCGGTGCACGCGCGCCTCCTTCTTTTTTTTTTTTTTTTTTTTTTTTCTCGGTGCGCGCGCGCACAGCTGGCTTGGAGGGGCGCGCGCGCGGCGGCTTGGCCGGCTCGGGGGGCGCGCGGCTTGGCTAAAATATATATATATATATATATATATTTTTTTTTTTTTATTTTATCTCCTTCTTTTTTCTTCTTCTTTCTTCTTCTCTTTTTTCATTCTCTTATTTTTTCTTCTATTTTTTTTTTTATTTGGTTGATATTCACCTCCTTGGGGATGTTTTATTTTTTGAATAGGATATTACCCTCGTTCCTTGAGATGGAATGTGCACCCCCTTGGGGATGTTCTATTTTTTGAGTAGGGAGATTATCCTCGTTCCTTGAGATCGGATGTGCGCCCCCTTGGGGATGTTCTATTTTTTGAGTAGGGAGATTATCCTCGTTCCTTGAGATCGGATGTGCACCCCCTTGGGGATGTTCTATTTTTTGAGTAGGGAGATTATCCTCGTTCCTTGAGATCGGATGTGCACCCCCTTAGGGATGTTCTATTTTTTGAGTAGGGAGATTATCCTCGTTCCTTGAGATGGGATGTGCACCCCCTTGGGGATGTTCTATTTTTTGAGTAGGGAGATTATCCTCGTTCCTTGAGATCGGATGTGCACCCCCTTAGGGATGTTCTATTTTTTGAGTAGGGAGATTATCCTCGTTCTTTGAGATCGGATGTGCACCCCCTTGGGGATGTTCTATTTTTTGAGTAGGGAGATTATCCTCGTTCCTTGAGATGGGATGTGAACCCACTTAGGGTTGAAAGGTAAGGGTGATGCCCAACCTTAGGATGGGGATAACTGCCCACTGTAGGATGAGGCGTTCGAGACCTATGGTCTGAGGTGGATGCGCATGGTTGTGCCATTGGTTCGCGCGTGCGCGTCATACCATTTTTTCTGTTTTTGAAGTAGGGACGTGAAACACTTGATGGGATGTGAAACCCCTTGGGGTTGAAAGGTAAGTGGATGTACCACCCTTGAGATGTGATGCCCAACTTTAGGATGGGATAGCCCCCCATTTAGGATGAGGCGATCACGAACCACTGGGGTGAGATGCCCCACCTTGGCGATATATGGTGCCACTGATTCAGTGGCAGCACGAGTTGAATCTTCCGTGATCATACGCTGAAGGTCTTCTTTGGTTATCTGAACCGTTCGAGAAGTAAGTAGAAATTGATCATGTGGAGAACCCAGTGGGGCCTCACGGGGAGGAGCGTTGGCTCCTGCTATGGCGAATGAAATGTTTTTGGGGCGATGTGACCCCCAGGGAGTCGATAACCCTTGGCGAACGAAATATTTTGGGAGCAGATGTAAGCCCCCAGGGAGTCGATAACCCTTGGCGAACGAAATATTTTGGGGGCGATGTAAGCCCCCAGGGAGTCGATAACCCTTGGCGAGCGAAATATTTTGGGGGCAGATGTAAGCCCCCAGGGAGTCGATAACCCTTGGCGAGTGAAATATTTTGGGGGCATATGTAAGCCCCTAGGGAGTCGACGGCGGTGGTGCCATAGGTGGCTCCACATGTGGAGCAGGTGCTGGTATCGCGTTGGGAGCATTTGCTCCCCTCGTGGCGATATATTGGGTCACGGCCTCTATGGCAGCGCGAGTTGAAGTTTCTGCTATCATGCGTTGAAGCGCATCCTCGGTTATTTGAACCATTCGAGGAGCAGGGAGCGGTGGATCGGCGAGTGGTTGGTCCCCAAGGGGGATCACCTGAACCTCGCGAGGCGGATCCATGGGATGTGGAGGAGGTGGCAAGCCAGAGCCTCCACGAGGTGGGAGGTCATTTGCTGTGTCCTTTTCTCTCCGAGCAGACGCCTCAGGAGGATCTTGTTGGCTACGTGATCTGGTTTGCATCGTTCCCACAGACGGCGCCAAAATGATGATGCTAAAATGTAGATCACCTGGGGTAGTGTAGAAAATGAACTGGGAGAGCAAAGCAGATCAGTAGCTTGACAACTTGATGATCCTGAGGTACCTGCGAAATGAACACACGTGAACTACGCCGGGGGTTGATCCGGCGGAAACCCCTCCGACGCTCAAGTCAGACGTGCTGATCATAGAAATAGTCCAGAGAATACAGTTGATAGTATTACTCAGTTAATAGGACGTACCTTAATAAAATGAGGAAAACCTCTATTTATATGTCGTTTATTGGGTTGGGTTTGCTTTGTTGGGCCCAATCCTTACTTGAAGGTGTTTGGGCCTCGGTGATATTAGTCTTCGATATTGGACTCGTAGCCCAGTAGGTAAAGAAATTGTAGGCCCATTGGGTTGGCCCAATTAGGCATATCAATATGTGTTGGATTTTTATTGTTACTTCGTATGTTCTCGATGGTATTGCATTTTTTTGTTTGCATTTTCTAATTAGTTTTATTTCTGCAAACAACATAATAAAAAATCGGACAACAAAATAAATTGCAACATAAAATAGAAAACTGCAAACTGCAACTTATAACTGAAAATTGTATTATCAAGCACCAAAAATAATTTGAAACAACAAATGAATGTGAATCACTAAACAATAATTTTTTTTGCGCTCTAGAGGACCTTTTACATGTTAGCAACATGAACAAAAAATGAATCATCTTTTATCTTTTTTGGACGAATACAAGTTGAAACGTTCTCGCGAGCATAAATATTTGTCACACACAAAGAGTGTCCAGTGCCGAAGTTCGACAATGGGACATTCACCTAATGCAGCGGGAAAAAAATGTAACGAAAATCGCTCATATTCTTTCACACCATGAACTTTTTCACCATTGACATTGATTTCGTGGACGTCCGTATGCATTTAATATTCATTTTCCTCTCTTCGATGTTGTTGAACAATGGCTTGGTCCCTTTTTTTTTTTTTTGACTGTTGAACGTAAAATAAAAAGAGAAAGTGGTTGAACGTTACAAAACAACAAATGTAATAATTGCAAATATTATCAACCACTAATTGCAAATTGCAAATACAAACGGTAAAGGTAAACTGTAAACGAAAAATGATAAAGAGGGAAGTATAAACTGTAAACAATGAAGTATAAACTGTAAAATGTAGAAATCCAAAACAAACATACTGAAATTCAATTTGCAAACTCATACCGGAGAAATGCAAATAGCAAAGTCAGAACACATAATTAGGTTCTTCAAATGTATTGTTTTAGAATAAACATAACCAATGTCGTAACATAAACAAACCCCTCAATTTACCTGATTTCGGGGATTGGAAATCATCATCCTCCTTTGCTGTTAAGGGGGGGAAACGGGTTCTCAAATTATTATTGAAATATTTGAAATAAATAGCAAACAAACAAAATACAAAAGCAAAAAAGGAACAAAATACAAAATTAATAATGAAAGAAAAAAATCAATATCGAAAACCCAACATGCAAATAAAATTTTACACAAAGGATCATTGATTACCAAGACTTAATCGTGTTTTGGCCATCGTATGAACTCCAAACAACAAACCCTAAACACCAGCCGTTGATTCCGAACAACAAACAATTTGTAAACAGCAAACAAAACATTTTGAAATTGGGCAACAGTAAATCGAACGAAGGCAAACGGAATAAAGGCAAAATACTCAGACCCGGTAATTTGTAAACAGCAAACGAAACAAATGCAAATAGCGAACAACAAATTTGTAAACAGCAAACGAAACAAATGCAAATAGTGAACAACAAATCGAACAAAGACAAAATGCAAACGACCTGGTAAAACTGCAAACGATCAAACACCCAAATCTATGGAAGGATTCAAAATTCGTGGTGAGATTTTCGCTTTGAAGAAACAAGGAAGAAATCGATTTCTAGATTTTTGCAATTATAATTTTCGGAACAACAAACCCTAAACACCAGCCGTTGTTTCTGAACAACAAGCAATTTGTAAAAGCACACGAAACAAATGCAAATAGTGAACAACACATCGAACGAAGACAAAATGCAAACGACCAGGTAGAACTGCAAACGACCAAACACCCAAACCTATGGAAGGATTCAAAATTCGTGGTGAGATTTTCGATTTGAAGAAATAGGGAAGAAATCGATTTCCAGATTTTTGCAATTATAATTTTCGGAACAACAAACCCTAAACACCAGCTGTTGTTTCCGAACAACAAGCAATTTGTAAACAGCAAACGAAACAAAATTCGTGGTGAGATTTTCGATTTGAAGAGACATGGAAGAAATCGATTTCCAGATTTTTGCAATTATAATTTTCGGAACAACAAACCCTAAACACCAGCTGTTGTTTCCGAACAACAAGCAATTTGTAAACAGCAAACGAAACAAATGCAAATAGTGAACATAAATCGAACGAAGACAAAATGCAAACGACCTGGTAGAACTGCAAATGATAAACCATCCAAACCTATGGAAGGATTCAAAATTCGTTGTGAGATTTTCGCTTTGAAGAAATAGAGAAGAAATCGAATTCCAGATTTTTGCAATTATAATTTTCGAATTTGCAGTATAATAGGGAGAAAAATAGGGGATCTGATTTTGAAGATATATTTTACCGTATATTAATAGGGATATTGATAGGGGTACTTTTGACAAATTATAAATACAAAAAATTGCTGGAAATTAGAATTTATTAGATGGATTTTAACACATATAACCTCTTATAGGAGGACCTATAGCAAATTGCCCCTAATAATATATGCTTGTAATGTTGAAGAATATATTTACATTCAAAAGATTTGAATTTTTTTATCTTTGTATTTTATAACGATTTTATTGTACTATTATTTTATTATTATAAAACTTTTATTATGGTCTTAGGATACATTTTATAAATGATGGATAACCATGTTTAAATGTCTTTTTATAAATGTTTGAGTAATTATAACTAACATCTATTAAAATTAAAAGAAAAAACAATTTATTTTCAATTTAACATCAATTAATCACCGTCTTAACTCTTAACGGATTAATCGTGAGGCGGTGCCAAATTCTCAGCTAGCCGCTTTTAACAACCTAGCTTAAAAAAGCAAAAACGCGTCAAAGAAAGAAAACAAAGGGCATGAACCAAAAGTCAAAAGACTCACCGGCGAGTGAGATTCAACCCACCCACCGACACACACAACACAATAGGCGCGTAACTTCACTCGCCTAAAAATAAATCACTCTCTTCCGAAACAACACAGATTTGGGAATGGCATGGCCGTCGACGCCGTCGTCTCCGCCAATACCCTCACCGGAATCCTCAGAATCACCGCCATCTCACTCATCCTCCTCACCACCCTTCTCTTCTTCCTCCTCCTCCGCCCTCCTTCAATCCACCAACCCCCAAACCCCACACTATTTCCCCACAGGTCCCTCATCTTCTCCCCAATTCCAAACTGCACCCCCTCAAATCTCACATCCTCCGACGGCCTATTCAACTACTCCGCCTTCCATTCATGCATCTTCAACAGCAATTCATATATCTCCGTCCCTTTCCTCTCTCTCATCCTCCTGCTGCAGTTCTACATCCTGGTCAAAACCGCCCAGGATCGGTTCTCCGTCGTCGTGACGAATCTCTCCGCCCAATTGAAGCTGTCTCCGTCGATGGGCGCCGTCACGCTTCTGGCATTGGGCAATGGGGCGCCCGATGTGTTCGCCTCCGTGGCGGCTGTTAGAGGTGGGCAGCCGAGAACCGGGTTCGGCGCGATTCTTTCGGCGGGGACTTTCGTCTCGGCTCTCGTCGTCGGCTTCGTTGCTATTTACGCCGCGCCATTTTCCGTCGAACCGGCTCCGTTTATTAGGGATGTGCTGTTTTACTTGACTGCTGCGTTGTTCATGTTTTACGTGTACTTGAGTGCCGAGATTTACTTGTGGCAGGCTGTTGGTTTTGTTGCTTTCTATGTTTTCTTTGTTGGGATTGTTTTTTCGATGGATTTCGGGTATAGCGGCGGTGGTGGTGGAGAGAAGAGTAGAAGCTCTGGTAATGGGGGAGAGTTGGAGTTGGCGGTGAATTCGGAGATCGATTGTGAAAGTGGGCGATCAATCGACAGATCGGAAGTTAAAAGGAAATCGAGTTCTTGGTTTTGGAAAGCGGTCGAAAAGGTATGTGATCTAGTGGTGCATTCGATCTTGATTTCTATCATAAATTTTACGGTTTTAAAAGCTTATGATATTGCATCGAGAGCATGTGTTTCTGTGTTAGTAAATTGCGATTTTCTTTTTTTTTTTTTTGCATCGTATCTCGGATATAGATTTCTGCCCGTTCGTACTTGCTTCCTTGTAACTTTTCTCATGATTTGTACTGGTGTATGTCGGGTGTATGTCGACAACAGTACGATCAAGGTTAGAATATCTGTTACAGTTAAGTCCGTCAATATAACGAGTGATTATACTGGATTACGTTTTGGAGAGTGTGTCGAAATTACATTTGCCCGTAGGTCGTGTCTATCCAATAGTACAATGTAATGGAACACGTGATACTTTCTTTTGCTATAATTTTCACATACTCATCCTGGCATATTTGCCTGCGTTGGTGCCGTAACCGTTGGAAATAAACAGCAATGGTATATTAATCTATCGGGTTCGTTACCGAAGAGCATAACATAAATGCACTAACTAACTGCACTAGATGAATACGGAACCTTTACTTTATATTAACATTCTGGCCTCTTATTTAAGCACATAATCGGTAGCTCGATTTTCTGCTTCAGTTGTTCTTGTGATCAGTTAATATGTCATTGTTCGTTTTGTCATCCTCGTTGAACTTGTTAAGTAGGTCAAAGCTTTGTCTTGTTGCTTCGAAGATTTCAAATGATGTGCGTTTTTTACACCAAAATGTTCGTTGTCGTTTTATCTCAAATGAAGATTCTTTTTATTTCTTTTTGTGCAGATTTCACAAATATGGCAAGTACCAGTCTCGATACTTCTAAAACTCACAATCCCGGAAACTTCCCCATCCGAATGGAGCAGATTCTACCGCTCGGCAAACATCGCACTTTGCCCACTCGCCCTTTCATACGCATGCAAATCGTTCATCCCTTTAGACCACCCAATCATATTCCTCCTCCCAAACACCCCTTTCCCTCTCTGGTCAATCCTACTCTTCGCAACCTCCTCCTTAGCCACTCTCCACTACGTGGTAGTGGAAACAGAACAACCCAAAAAAACCGAACAAATCCCGGTAGTGCTAACAGCATTTATAATGAGCGTGTTCTGGATCTCAACCATAGCTGGCGAACTACTCAACTGCCTCGCAGCTATCGGCACCCTTCTGCATTTGCCGTCAGCACTTCTTGGTTTGACGGTACTTGCGTGGGGGAACTCGGTGGGTGACCTAGTTGCTGACGTAGCGGTTGCGAAGGCGGGCCAGCCCGCTATGGCTATGGCGGGCTGCTTTGCATGCCCCATGTTTAATATGCTATTTGGGCTCGGTACGGCTTTGGTGATGCAGACGGGGAGTGTTTATCCGGAAGCTTACGAGCTTCGTTTCCATACGAGTATTGTGGTTGCGTTTGTGTTCTTGATTTTGAGTTTGATGGGTTCGTTGTTGGTTGTGACTTGGTGCAGGTTTAGGGTTCCTAGGTTTTGGGGGTTTTGTCTTGTTGGCCTTTATGTTGTTTTCATGGCTGTAAGCCTATTAATTGCTAAATTCTCCTTTTAGTTTTTTTTTGGTGAAGGGGAATGGATTTATACTATAAATACCACGAGGTATGTTTGGGATGTGATAAATGTCGTTTCAGTTTAACTATAACGCAACGTGATTTTGACCACCTTCAGCTCGGAATTTGGCAAAACTCTATACACGAAATTTGTGGTTCTTTGAGTTAGTAATCTAACTTGAATTGCCAAAAGTTGATGTTAGGTGAGAAAGATATATATGAATCTATGAACACTGCACAAACCTATAATGTTTCTAGTTATCTAAAATTCAAAATGTAACTCAAACTCATTCATGCATAACTTTGTCATCCGACATTAAATTTAAATTTAGTTGATTCAAGTTGGATTAGAAAACTAATTGAAAAAACTGCAATTTCCGTATTTTAAATTTTGCAAAAATCTGCAATTTATGTCTTTTTAAATTTTGCCAATATCGCACAAGCCAAAGCACATGCAGCACTCAAAGCCTAGAGAGGTTGATTGTGTGAAGCACATGCAGCACTCGAAGCTATCACACAAGCCAAAGCACGAGGGTGGAACTCAATTATCCTGGAAGGCGATTCCTTGCAGGCCATCGAAACGTTGAAGTTTGGTGATCTTCCAACATCTTTTAGAGCACTCATCCAAGATACGCTGATCAATGCTAAGTATTTTGTAGTTTGTAGTTTTCTTTTTGTCAAGCGGAATCAGAACTGTTTAGCTCACGCTATTGCCACTAAATTTGAGACAGTTTGTTCAATCCTTTCAACTCAGTAGACAAGTGGCTAATAAAGCTTTGTTGTTGTTCTTCTTTAACTACGAAAATATCAAAATCAGTAAAATCGAAACGCCATTTAACATGTCAATTTGTAAATTAATTATTATGATTTAATTTTTCTTCCTTTAGTTTGATTCACATATATTCCAATTATCAAGAAAATCAAGAATGTGAGAAAACAAAATAGAACCCATTTTGCACGGCCCAAACCAAACGAGCCCTAAAACTATTAAGTCCATCCACACAATAAAGTTGAAAGAATACGTACAAATTTCAATTTTCAAAAACCAATTGGGCACACATCACAACTCACAACGGTCAGCTCTCTGAAGCTTCTTCTTCAGAGTTCCCAGAGCAGAATGCTCGAAACCCTTCATCTAGTTACAGATCCAAATGTCAAAATGAACATCTCCTTACACCTCACACAATCCTTCTTCCCCATTCGCACCAACAGCAATTCCCAACCACGCGCCGCCGAACCAAAAATTCTCTGCGCCGCAAACAGAAGAAACCGATATGGAATCGGAAAATCCGGCAAGCTAATCCTCGATTCAGCTTTCATCATTGCGTCAAAGCTCAGGCTTTTACCGGAACCTTTAGAATTGATTCTGCGGGAATTTGGGTCCGGAAATGGCGGCGGGAATTGGGTCCCGAATCGGTTCGGGTGGGGCGGGTTCGACGGCTGGAGAAGGAGGAAAAGGAAAACGAAATTGGGGATCGTCGGAATTTTGGTGATTTTTGGTGCGGTGGGATTGTGGTTTCTTGCGGGTAAAGAATTGGGTTTGGATGGGGATGCTTTGCTCGGTGGATTAGGGTTGCTTTTATTTGGGTTTTCGGCGGAGGGGTGGAGAAGAGGGGTGAAAGATTGGATTTTAGGGTTTTGTTGCTGTGCTTTTCTGATGGGTTTTGCTTTGAAGAAGGACGAATTGCAGAAATGGGGTAGGTATTTTGGAACCCTAATTAAGAAAGGAAGAAAAAGAAGAAGAAAAAGAAGAGCTTTTTGAGGACTATTTTGCAATTTTTTTCCCGGGTTTGGTGTTCAGTATATGCAATCTTCATCTCTTCTTTTCGTGTTTTTCGTTTATATTTCCGGCGGAAGAATTTTGATTTTTTTTTAATTATTATGTTTGTTTATAAAGTTTTGGTGAAGATCAGTTTGAGCTGGTTAATGGTTTCTTGAATTTTGAGCATGTATACAATGTGCATTTTGTTCTTTATTCGAGTACACTTAAGGCCTCGTTTCGTTCGTTGGTAGATAACCGGTGATTCTTTAAATAACGAGGTCTTGTTTGATGTTTGGTTAGTGTGGTGGTTGAATCTGTAAAATGGAGTGAAATTTTGGTAATTGTTCGATTTCAGCTTGATATTTTTCAGTTCATACTTTCTATATTCATCGCGATCAAAACTTTGCCGTTGTTTCGTTTGGGAGTGTTGATGAGACTGATAAGAGTATGTCATCCAAAACTTGGAACAAGAATCGAAAACTTGGACATTTGTCGGAAAGAAAATAATGGAACATAGGTCTATAAAAATTGGAATTTGGGATTTGAAAGTTTAGTTCATGACTATTTTTTTCAGTTTAATGCAGGAATTGAAACGGTGGAATTCGAAATACCGATGTGAGTTATAGAAATCAATATGTATTTTTTATGCGCTGCATGCTGAAAACCACCTCCATCATGTTGTGATGGAAAATGAGTGAATGACATTCATCCTCGTTCCCGATTTTGGCGGTGGAATTGTGCAAATAGAGTAACAATGGAGAAGATGATCTCTAGATCATTTATTTAGGGAAAGGGTAAAATCGGAAATATGGGTGGTGAATTGAGTTCTTTATTTTTTATTTATTTAGTATCATGTATTTATTTCAGCTGTTTTTTTGCCAAACTAATCCTAATAAAATTTCACTATTTAGGCCTCGTTTGCTTGGTGCTATTAACCTCTATTAACTAAATAGTAGGGGTTAGTAAGATATTTGGTTGATGAGATTCGTATTTAGTCAAGCCCGCTACTACACTTAGAGCCCGCAATTAAGTGCTATTATTTGGTTTAATTAGTAGCACCCCTCCCGATTAATTTTGTAGGGGTAATTAAAAGAGGAAAATACAATTTTATTCTTAAAATAATATCTTAATTATTTTAATTAAAATACTTTTTAGACAATTCACATTAAGTACCAGAATTTAACAAATTTTATGCAAGATTTAATCTAACGAATCAAACATCTTACTAGACTAAATAATTAATTAGTCAGTGAGAAATTAATTCAATCTCACCTAATCCGATGTAATTCGATATAGAAGATTGTGAGAAATATATCGTAGAACTTTTGCTCTCGCTGATAGATTTAAATCTCTGCAAATTAATGGACTCAGAGGGAACAAAATTTTATTAATTCAGGGAAATATTAAATTATCGAACTAATAATGTAATACGCTTTCACCTAGTTGGGATCGGGATAAATTATTATTTATGTTGTAAATAATATGGTTGTGGGGTTTCCTAACATAACCACCCAACTCCCCACTAGATCACTAACCTACCCATGTCTTCCCATTATGTATTAGTGGTAGAGTAACTTATTTTGTAACTTCTCTTGTAACTCCCGGTGGTTTTTCACCTATATAATGGAATTCTCCCTCCCCCATATTTACACCCTTATTAATCTCTCTACGGATTTTTGTCTTTGCATTCTCTCTCTATCTTTTATATTGTCATACTTTATTTTCCACCATCATCAAACCGAAGAGCAATACCATTAGGGCGATTTACAACACGTTATCAGCACGAATTGCTCGCAGTGATCGTGGAAGAATAATTGTTCGTGGGGCTAGGATACTTGGAGAAATTGTGAGCGTGGTTCGTTTGTAAAACGGTGATCTACTTTCGTAGAACGTATAATCTTTTCTATAGTATCTGAATTTTATCAATTTTCAAGTAAGCCTTAACCCCTTGAAATTCTTTATTATATGAATGCATGTTAGATAAATTCAAATTAGCATGAAAAGTTGTGTAGCATATTTATTTGATGTTATTTGATATTTGTTTGAAAATCTCGGTTGATGTTTCGAGTACTATATGATTCATGAATAGATTGTTATATGAGTTGTACTTTGTTGGTGAATGAAGATAAGAAGTTTATGAATTAATCTGTTTGTCAAGATGAGTAATATGTAATATTCTTGTAGAATGATTTCACTATGAATATTCTGCGTACATGTTTTGACATTTAATGTTATATGACCAGTGAATAAAATCATCCATGTGAATATTCTGTGTGCATGAAACAATCGGTTTGTCTAATAATCATGAACTGGTTGAAATATATGTGAATTCTATACGAGTCATATATGCTATATGTGGTTGTATCACGTCATATGCAAATTTCATGACCTAAAAGTAATACACAATAATTTGATTCGCATGTATTCTTTGTCTATGTACGATAGGATGGAACATTTGAGCAAACTTGATTTCACCCCTTTGAATGTATCTGGTGAGAACTACGTGAGTTGGACAATGGATATTAAGATCCATCTCACTAGTAAAAAACTGAGGATGGCTATTGTCAAAGAAAATCAGCTTAACGAAGCCCAGAAGGCTGAAGCCATGATTCTGATTAGGAGGCACCTAGATGAGGTCCTCCGTTTGGACTACTCATCGATTGAGGATCCCCAAATACTATGGGATGCCCTGGCTAGTCGATTTGATCACCAAAAGACAATCCTCTTGCCTGAAGCAAGAAACAAATGGATTCACTTACGGTTTATGGACTTCAAAACCGTTAACGAGTATAACTCTGAAGTATGTCGCATCAAATCCACCCTGGAGTTTTGTGGAGAGAAACTAACTGATGCTGAGATTCTGGAGAAGACGTACTCTACATTCCCTACCTCACATATGATACTGTCTCAACAGTACAGAGCCAAGAACTATACTCAGTTTTCAGAGTTGGTCACAGTTCTGCTCCTTGCCGAGAAGAACCTTGATCTTCTTTTGAAGAACAACCAGGCTCGACCAGTTGGTACTCGACCTTTGCCAGAATCAAATTTGGTCAATCGAAATCCTCAACCTTTGCCAGAAGCAAATTTGGTCAACAGAAACAACCGTGGAGGAGGCAGAGGCCGGGGGTTCAATCGTCGAGTGAGAGGACGGGGTAATAGGGGCGGACATGTTCCTTATAATAGGCCACCTAATGGTCCCCCACAGTATGGGCAAAGGGGGAATATGCCAAGAGGAGGTAACAATGCTCGACCTAGAGGTGCGCAGCAGAATAGAGCCCCGAATCAGAATCAAAATCAGAATAGTGATACATGTCATAGGTGTGGTGGGACTGGGCATTGGTCACGCACCTGTCGTGCGAGGAACGTTATGGTTGGTGGTGTAAATAACAATACACCACCGGAGACCAACCTGGTTGAGATAGACGTTCTCAATTAGGAGCCCATTGCTCGACTCCCAAATCTGGGCACATCTGGCCCAATGACCCAGTTTGGAATATGATTACAATGTTATTTTATGAGTTTAGACATTATGTTCTTTTATGTTTCTAGTTTATCAGTTTTAAGTTATGTTGTTTATTTGGTCATGCTTATGAACCAATTTCGTATTTGGATTATGTTTGTGCTTTATTTTTTGAACTATATTTTATATGGCTATGTTTTAATTAGTTTATATGGTACTCGATAGAGTTATCTTGTTTGGATTTTATTAAAGTATTTTCAATTGCGGAATATATGATTAGATTTATTTATCTTTCTAGACATGGCATGTGGGGATGAATGTCTGGCAGATAGTGCGACAACGCACACTATCCTTAGGGATAAGTCATATTTTGTTAGTTTCATGTCTAGTAAGACTTCTTTGACTACTATATCAGGCACATCTAGTATAATAGATGGTTATGGTAATGCCCATATTATGTTACCTCATGGCACAATTCTGACCATTAGAGAAGCTCTTTATTCTCCACGTTCCAGTAGAACGCTGCTGAGTTTTAAAGATATTCGAGCCAATGGTTATCATGTTGAAACAACTGATGAAAAGGGGATCGAGTATATGTGCATCACCTCTAACGTGTACGGCCAGAAGCGTACCTTGGAAAAATTAGAGGGACTTTCGATAGGGTTATATAAGACTGCAAAATTCGAGTGCCAGAAGCACACCTTGTCGATTGCTCGAAGTCTAGTGATCCGAGCAAATAGTTTCTATGGCATGACCGACTGGGATATCCGGGTCAAAGTGTGATGCGCCGAATTATTAACACATCTATTGGGCATCCACTAACGAATAATGATCTTGTACACAATGATAAGATATGTGTACCTTGTTCTATTGGAAAACTTGATCCTATGCCAACTTATGCACAAACTAGTAAAGATTCTCTTGGTTTCTTGGAACGAATCCAAGGAGATATATGTGGCCCCATCTCACCACCATGTGGATCTTTTAAATATTTTTTGGTGATGGTTGATGCTTCAACTAAGTGGTCACAGGTCGATTTGGTTGTCTACGAGGAATGCTGCTTATGCTAAACTCCTCTCTCAAATAATAAGATTGAGAGCACACTATCCAGATTATCCCATTAAGTCTATTCGACTGGATAATGCTGCAGAGTTTACGTCGCGGTCTTTCGACGAATATTGGATGTCTTTAGGTATTGACATAGAACATCCTGTAGCGCATGTTCATACCCAAAATGGCCTTGCAGAGGCATTTATTAAGAATTTACAGAGGATTGCACGAACTTTGGTAATGCGCACCAAACTTCCAATCTCTGCTTGGGGCTATGCAATATTGCACACATCTATGTTATTACGATTGAGGCCCACTGCAACCCAACCATATTTTGCGTTACAGTTGGTGTCCGGAAGTACACCAAACGTTTCTCATTTACGCACATTTGGGTGTGCAGTTTATGTGCCGATTGCTCCGCCACAACGGACCAAGATGGGACCTCAACGTAGATTGGGCATTTATGTTGGTTACATATCACCATCTATAATACGATATTTAGAACCCTTGACAGGCGATCTCTTTACCGCTCGATTCGCGGACTGTCACTTTGATGAGACCGTCTTCCCGCCGTTAGGGGGAGGAAAGAACGTTCACACTAACGTTCCTGAAGAACGGCGTGAAGTTGTATGGAATCACCCCACTGTGTCTCATCATGATCCCCCCACTTCAGTCAGAGAGTTTGAAGTACGTAGGCTCATAGATCTACAGAAAGTAGCCAATAATATGCCAGACTCATTCTCTGACCTAGAAAAAGTGACGAGATCTCATATACCAGTTGCAAACGTGCCTGCAAGGATAGATGTCCCAGAAGGACAAAACGTGGGAAGGCCATCAGTCCCTGCTAACCAATCATATCTCCCTGCCCAGAAGAGGGGGAGACCAATTGGATCAAAGGATTCTCATCCCCGGAAGCGGATGAATGCCCAACAGTTGAATGAGGTTAGCAATAGTAATAATGGGATCCCACCCGATCCATCTCATGATATAGTTCCGGACTATGGATCCGTCTTGGAGACGAAATCGGGGGACGCCTCGACATTAGTACCCATTCCCGAGAATAGAGAAATCTCGGTTAGTTATTCATGCATGAATGAGGTTTGGCATCGGGATGAAATAATCATCAATGATGTGTTTGCTTACACATTAGCTACTGAAATTGTATCGAGTGATGATATTGAGCCTCGAACAATTGATGAATGTAAACAGAGGGATGATTGGCCGAATTGGGAAAAAGCAATCCAGGCTGAGTTTGACTCATTGGTAAAAAGGGGAGTGTTTGGGCCGGTAGCTCCTACACCTCCTGGAGTTATACCCGTGGGATATAAATGGGTATTCATAAGGAAAAGAAATGAGAAAAACGAGATTATGAGATATAAGGCTCGTCTCGTAGCACAAGGATTTTCTCAGCGACCTGGGATTGACTTTGAGGAGACATATTCTCCTGTTATGGATGTTATTACATTCAGATATCTAGTCAGTTTGGTTGTATCCGAGGAACTGACTATGCAGCTCATGGATGTGGTCACAGCTTATCTATATGGGGATCTAGATACAAGTATATATATGAAAGTTCCTGAAGGACTTCGATTACCCGAAGCAATTAGTTCCAGACCACGGAACACGATCTCAGTTAGGTTGAGACGATCACTTTATGGCTTGAAACAATCTGGAAGAATGTGGTATAATCGCCTAAGTGAATACTTGCTCGGAAGGGGATACGTGAACAATGATATTTGTCCTTGCGTGTTTATTAAGAAAACATGTTCTGGGTTTCCTGTTGTAGCAGTTTATGTTGATGATATGAATTTGATTGGAACTCCTGAAGAAGTCCGTGAAACAGCCCAACTCCTAAAACATGAGTTTGAGATGAAAGATCTCGGTAGGACTAATTTCTGTCTCGGACTTGAGATAGTACACCGTGCTGATGGAATTTTGGTCCATCAATCGAACTACATCCAGAAGATGTTAAGACGCTTTAATATGGATAAAGCGAAACCATCGAGCACGCCTATGGTAGTCCGATCATTGGATAGGTCGAAGGATCCGTTCCGTCCTGTGGAGGAGGACGAAGAAGTGTTAGCACCTGAAGTGCCGTACCTAAGTGCAATAGACGCATTATTGTACTTAGCTCAATGTACTCGACCTGATATCGCATTTGCGATAAATTTGCTAGCAAGGTTTAGCTCAGCACCAACACGCCGCCATTGGAATGGTGTAAATGACGTATTTCGTTACCTTAAGGGTTCAATAGACATGGGTTTGTTCTATCCCTATGCATCATTAAAGGATGCAAAGCTTGTGGGTTATGCAGACGCTGGGTATCTGTCAGACCCACACAAAGCTCGTTCCCAAACTGGATATGTGTTTACCATTGGGAACACAGCTGTGTCTTGGAGGTCTACAAAACATACCTTAGTTGCCACCTCATCGAACCATGCAGAGATTTTAGCACTTCACGAGGCAGTGCGTGAATGTACATGGCTTAGAGCCATGAATGGGCATATTCGAGATTCCTGTGGATTGGCTACCACAGAAGATCCTACGATCATATTCGAGGATAATGCAGCGTGCATTGAGCAAATGAAGACGGGCTTCATTAAAGGTGACAACACCAAGCATATATAGCTCCAAAGTTTTTCTTCAATCAACAACAACAAGAGCTCAAACAAATAATGATCCAGCAGATCAGAAGTCAGGATAATTGCGCTGATTTATTTACTAAGTCATTACCTAAAGTCACTTTTGAAAAGCATGTTAATGCTATTGGCCTGCGTAGATTATCTGAGCTCGCTCCCTTATAGAGATCAGGGGGAGTTAACTTGAGGGGGAGTACCCTGTAGGTACTCAGTATCCAGAAGATACCTAGATGCCCTGTTGTACTCTTTTTCCTTTTTTGCGGAATTTATTTTCCCACAGGGTTTTTGGTTACCCGCTAAAGGTTTTAACGAGGCAATATAGCTGATTGGAAAGATTGTGCGTTGTACTCTTTTTCCTAACCGAGGTTGTTTTGTCCCACTGGGTTTTATTACTCGGAAGGTTTTAATGAGGCAACATGAAATGCACAATAGTGATTTTGATAGGAACCCCCAAGGGGGAGTGTTGTAAATAATATGGTTGTGGGGTTTCCTAACATAACCACCCAACTCCCCACTCGATCACTAACCTACCCATGTCTTCCCATTATGTGTTAGTGGTAGAGTAACTTATTTTGTAACTTCTCTTGTAACTCCCGGTGGTTTTTCACCTACATAATGGAATTCTCCCTCCCCATATTTACACCCTTATTAATCTCTCTACGGATTTTTGTCTTTGCATTCTCTCTCTATCTTTTATATTGTCATACTTTATTTTCCACCATCATCAAACCGAAGAGCAATCCCATTAGGGCGATTTACAACAATTTAAACAAAATTATTAATTTATCGAGGTACTACTATATTAATAATTCGACAAGTTATTTAACAATTAACAAATTAATAAAAACATGAATATTAAATACAACAATTAAAATATTTAAATTAGAAAGGTGATGACAAATTTATTAAGGTAGATTGGTAGTGTAAATATATTATTTGGGGCCAAATAGCCGAATTTGCTCTCTTTTACGAAAGAAAACAAAAAAAGTGCTTTTGGCGCAAAAGCAGAAGCTACTAATTTCCTCTGTGCGGTGGGTCATATATGGCTGAAGGTGAGAGCTTGACGGAATCATCTTCTGACCCGAATCCGAATCCGAATCCGAACCCGGACCCGTGTTCAATTTGTCTGTCATCGGTCACTCAAGATTCATACTTAGACAAATGTTTCCGTACGTCTCTCTATCTAAATTTTCATCACAAGATTCAATTTTTAATTTGGGTAAATTTTAATTCCGTTGTCTCTTCAATTTGTAATCTTTGCTTTAGGTCGATTTTACTTAATTTACAGCTTTTGCCACTCAATTTGATTTTTTCCCGATGCATTCTCTTAGTTAAAATGACGCAGAAATTAGCCCTTTTCTTCTTACTATATTGATATTGCTTCAGTACTACTGCTAGAACCATGAGATGCAGAATTCTAATAAAATTAATTTTCAATTTATTATGTATGATGTCAGAGGCTGAATTCTGTTTTTTATTTTTATTTATTTTTATTTTATTTATTATTATTTTTTTTTTACTTTTTTATGATCAAATACAATAGAAGCTCGATAAATTAATAACCTCGATTAAATAATAGTTTCTCTCGGTCCCAACTCGGTGAAAACGTGTTAAATTATTAACTCGATAATTTAATAATTCGATAAGTAATAGAATTTCCCTAGTCCCGACTGTATTAATTTATAGAGGTTTAACTGTAATGATTGCCTTTTGAGTATAATGCTTGCATAATTCTGTGTGTATCTGGACCTGTTCGAATTTGGGGATATGTTTTTTTAATTTTTCTTCGAAATACTTAGAAAGAAATTAGGGTTTGTAAATGAGTTCGACGTGTATTTTGTAGTTGTTCAATTTCATCTCTAAGGTTTGAAACAACTACATTTTTTATGTAGTAGACGCTAAACTCGAAGTGCTTTCAAGGCCTTATTTTTACCTATTTTTTCGTTAAATATGGTGATTTGATACTCGATCTAGTCTATAAGAATAAATCTGGATTTAATTTTTAATGAGTTTAATGCTTAATCGATAATGCTGCAGATAAATTTTGCTATAACTGCATCATAAGATGGATTAATGTAGTTGCAAGCAAGCAGTCTTCTGCGTCTTCAACAGTGACGTGTCCTATGTGCAAGGTTCGCTTTTCGGTTATTGGTTTTTTAGTTTTTACGTAAAAATTATATATACAGTAGAACCTCGATAAATTAATACTCGATAATTTAATAATTCGATAAATTAATAAAATTTCCCTAGTCTCGATTGTATTAATTTATAGAGGTTTAACTATGTGTGTGTGTATATATATATATATATATATATATATATATATATATATATATATATATATATATATATATATATATATATATTAATGTTTTTTTAAATATTAATTTTTCTCTCACTAAATTTTTCTTGCATCTTTCTTCAGACAGAGAACTTATCCATTATATATGGATACGATGGAACTTATTTTCAACGGCATTATGTTGGTAAGAGTCTCGAGAATAGGTACAGTAAATGGTCTTAGTTCGAAGCTATATCCGATTGATCTCTCTCACTTTTCTTTTTCAATTCTTGTATTTGCAAAATATCGAAGCGTTTTTATTTTCGGGTTTCTGCAGTGAATTCTTTTCGGAAGCCCACAGATACAGATTGAAATGTTACTACACTGAACCCGGTAATTTTTTTCTTTCTCCTTTGTAAGTAATTTACCGCAATTAACTCAGGTAATTAAACTATTTTTTACGATTGTGACGTGGCAGGTGATCTAGCTGATAAACTACAAGTGCCACGTTATTGGAAGTTCCGTAAGTATATACAGCACAATCATTTTCTAGGTGACTGGCTTAGACGGGAATTTCAGGCTCTAATTCAGGTTTAGTAATTGTTGCTCTCTATTTCTTTTATAATATTTCGATATTTCCGCAATTTTTTTTATTGTTGTTTTTTTTTTTTTTTAATTTGCTTCCAAGTGAAGGAAAATGAGAATTGCGAGTTCCTTTAGTCGAAATAGAATTTGATTCACGATAAAAAAAAATGGGCTTCATTGTATAGTTTTGTTGTCTGCATATGCTTTCTTACTACCCTAATTCTCGTTTGGAAATGTTGATGGGATTGATTAAATTGGTGCGGATAACATTGTCCGTGATAATGTAATTTGTGATTGCCGTATCTTACTTTTGAGATTTGTTGGTTATACAAATCATTGTACTGTGTAGCCTAACAAGTCTTGATTATATTGTCTAGGCCTCGTTTGGTTGCCAGGATAAGATTAACCCAGATAAGATTAAATTATCTAATGAAACCCAATTGTTTTATTGGACCTTAGGCCCCGTTTGGTTGACAAGATAAGATTAGCTAAGATAAGATTAAATAATCTAATGAGACCCAATTATTTTATTGGAGCTTGAAAGGTCCAACAAAAAAAACTCATTAAGAGGCAAGATAAGCCAAGATAAGGCAAGATAAGCAATGATTATTTAATTTTGGCGGGTCGACCCGGCAAGTTATTGAGGATACCAAACATCAAATTAAGTCCAACTATTTAGTTAATCATGGCTTATCTTGGCAACCAAACGGGGCCTTAGAAGATCCAATAAAAAAACATGTCTAAAAGGAAAGGCAAGATAAGTCATGATAACATAATATTAGGGAGTCGACCCGGCAAGTTACTGGGGATACCAAACATCAAACAAAGTCAAATTATTTAGTTAGTCATGGTTAATCTGCCTAAACAAACGAGGCCCAAGTCATATCTTAATACCCAAACGAGGCCCTAGAGTAGTATAACCTAACGATTAGTCTCACTTCATATGTAGGTAGAGGATGTCGACATTATCATGCATCATACGCTCGGTGTGGTTGACTCGTTGAGAAGGTAATTATGCCTCCTTTTTTTATTTTTTATTTTTTTATACACGTAGAAATTCCTTCAAATCATTTTATTTTATCTGGACATTTATTTATGCTAAAAAGATTTCTTGTGATGAGAAGCTGAAAAAATTCGAACACTGCAGAGATTGGTTAAAAGACCCTAAAATTTCAACTGAAAAGGTACGACAAGCGTTCAGAGCGTCAATTTATGAAGCAGTAAGACCTTTCTTAACAGGTAGAACCGAAAGGTTTGTAAATGAGTTAGAACTATTTGTGGGGTCCGGCATGAATATCGAGGCCTTTGATAAAGTCTATATTAAGCATTTAGGTTGGAAATTTCTTGAAATAAACGAGAATGAGCATGATGATGAACCATCGAATGAGAATCATACGTCAGCTGTTCCATACTTGTACATCCTTGATGAAGAATCTGATGAAAACTGAGTGTTTAATTTGCTTTGTAATGAAATAATCTATTTTATGATGGCTTTCATTGTGAGTTGATTATTTTTAGGCGAAGTATTTGAAATACATACATGGTGCATTTGGATGGAGGGATTTCAAATCGATTATAACAAATCCCTTGGACTTGTTTGGATTGAGGGATTTTGAGATAAATTTCAAATCCCCACCCCTCATTTTTACTTGTTTTTTGAGCAATTATTGTGGATTTCAAATGACTTCAAATTGGAGAAATTTCAAATCTTTTAGCCATTGAAGAATATGGGTGTTTTGTCCAACCTCTCTATAGAGAAAGACTGAATCATCTTTCTGGGCATCACCATCTCATCGACATGCACAATGTGAGTTTGTACTTTGTTTAGCTCGACATTAACTTTGTTGTATGGCTAGATCATATCACAAAAAAATCTAGATTTGCTCCTTATGTCGCCACACCACACCATCACCATCCCCACCACCGTCTCATTTCCATCCCTACGGAGATTGATATCCTTTTTCTCCGATGACATAATAGATCGACTGTCATGGCGAGAAGGGGCTGATGCTGCTCCGGGCAGCCGTGCCGCCGGTGGTCCGGGGCTTGCTTGAGAGCTGCCATGAGGGTGTAGGAGATAAGGGGCTCCAGTGGCTTGAGGATTTATTCTGGCATTGGGTCGCCGCCGTTGTGGGGAGCTTCTGCGTCTTGGCGAGGGAACAGAAGTGCTGGGGATTATTTATAATCTTGATAATTGCCAAACTATATTGGGGATTATTTTAGAGAAACCCCTCATATGGAAATTACATATAATTAACCACTAAGTGGATTATACTCTGGTGCAAACCACCTCATTTTTTATAATAATTTGACATACCCCTTGGGTCAATTTCAACTACCTAAAATGTCCTTTTAAATCAGTTCTAAACCCTAGCCAACTCATATCGGTCTCTCTCTTCCTCTCTCAACTCACAGATCCAAATTTCGTTTCCCAAGGTCTCCAACCGGCGATGTTGCTTCCCGGAGTCATAACTCTCTCTCAGGTTGTTGAAATTCGATGGTTTGATTACCGTTGGATTCCTCTCGTCGAGCTATTTCTTTTGGTGGTGATTTCATTCAGTTTGGAGCTCTGGATATGTTTTTGCAATCGTTTTATGGACCGCGCATATTTCAACGACGGTGGATATTATTGTTGAATGAGTAATTTGTGTTCCGGCAATTGGAATTTGACGGGTTACCCACCATTGGATTCCTCTCTTCGCTATTTTTTGAAGGTAATTTTGTTCAATTTTTATGGTCTAAAATTCATAGCATTCGCAGCTATGGACTTTTCTCTCTCTATCGCTTGATCTCTTAGTGTTTGTAATTGACTTTTAAGTGTTTTAATGTTTCTTCAATTTTTATTGATTTGCACTAAAAAAAAGTAAAGTGTTACATAAATTATTGAAGTTGAACCATATGTAAATAAATAATACAAACCATCTCCATGTAAAATTATTGACACATTAATGTTAGAAGTTTAATTTCTCCGGTGCACGGTAGAAAACTTCATGAAGAAAGAATGATGAAATGCTGGAATAAAATGACAAGTAGGACCGTCACAAGTACTCCGGTAGTCATCGAACTCAATCGTGCAACATCGTTTGGTTTTGGAGTACGAGAGTTTTCCTTGTTACCATAGCCTGAGATAAAAAAGTTGAATATATATTTATATATATACCTTTCAATTAAGTGCAAGAATGATAAGTTAACTAAAAAAATGAATATACTAAACCGACTCACAATCAGATTCTTCCCAACCCAAAACCATCTCCTCACGATCAAAGACTACGTTGTACCCTGTCATAAAATTTTCTGGGGAAGAAAAGATCAAGATATTAATCAATTAATATACAAAGTTCAGTTAAATTCATCACATAGATAGCATAGTAGACGACGTTTATACTTTGATTAGGCGGACTAATAACACTACAAGAAAAAAATGCATTAGTAACCGTACTCTAATTGTGATAAATGTAAAAGTTGTAGCTAACTGCATGCATATAATAGTGACAACATTTTATTCTTTGTCACTAATTGTTATTGCTTAATTTGTGATTAATGTCATAATACAAAATTAGTGACACCCGATTAGTGACAAGTACTGCGGCCTATCTGAAGATCGACACATGAAAGTATAATGATCCCAATTTTGTACCATTTTTATTTATCAATTCGAAATAGCAAATTCTGTCAAACATGTGATGATTTGATTAGACTAAAAAAAGGAACTATATTTCAAGATATGAAATATATATAGCCTATAGGAGATAAAAAAAGCTGAGTAACTTAATCGATTATGATAATATTGCAATACTCACCTCCGATGATGTTAATATCGTCACTTTCGACGATAGCCAAACAATACGCAAGCGGATAACCACCCTTCATATATATATATATATGAACACAAAATAATATTAGCACTTCTTGAAATTAATAATATATTGATCCCTTAAAACATTAATTTCTTACATTCAGTGATGTAACGAAAGTTAATGTTGGTGAAGTAACAGTAAACTGGCTTCCACCTTTCATCGTCAAGATCAATTTCGGAACGGTATAGTCATCTTGAGTTGATCTGCAGTGAATAGAATTCATGAATGATTGAAAAAAAATATTGCCAAATTAAAAGACCTGCTGGGTATATAAAAATTGAAATACAACAAGACCTGAGTCCATAGCAATATTCGAAATTAAGATGAGGCTCAACGCGTGTCTCGGTTATTAGAGAATCTAACTGCAAATTAAAATAAAAAAAGTACGTCGTTGTTCCGAACTTTTGCAGGCTAATTATAAAAATAGCAAAAATACAATTACATAGCAGCCGAACTTACGTGTTTTACGATAAATGAGTAAGTTGGCTCAGTCAAATACGTAAATGCGAAGCCAGAGTCGAAAATTGCTGTGAACTCAGTAGTAGTGGCGCTATTTTTCACAGCAATTTGTGTCACGGTGATATTATAGTTCGGGCTGCATGCAATAAAGATGCGAAGATACATAAATGAACATGGAAAAAAATAAATAAAAATAGGGCAATATAATATTGCTTACTTTGATTGTTGAAGATTAAAGGGGGTTGTTTTTCGCAGTGGACTCCCTTTATCTCCAAAAACAACTCTTCCTTGTCCATCAGAGCCAAAGCACAAGGAGAAAGAATTTGCGACGAGACCTTTGTTAGCTAAAACGCTAGGGACCGATATATTGTCCATACCAAGTCCTAATACACCATTAATACTACCACCGTCCAAGAAAGAACCGGTTTGAGTTTTTCCACACCTGAAACAATAACATATATAAGTACAAAAAATTAAAAAAGAAAAAAGAAAAAAAAAACACCTACCCTAATGTAATAGGGACGTCGACAATGTCTTGTGGAATGACATTTGTACCCAAATGCAAAACATCGTTAACCAATATCCCTGAAGTTGAGCTGTTGCCGTATATTTCTTCGTAAGAACAAGCATTGAGACTGGACGAGCATCCTCTTTTTGGTTTGACACACATTGTGCTATTGCATGGAACCGGCGCACTTGTCCTCGATTTACTAGGACTGTATATGTTTAGCTCCAACAACTGTGACGTTTATATTAAGTACGAACCCTTGGATCAAAATTAAAAAATTATAAAACACACACACACACACACACACACGTTATAATTGTGTTGGTTTATCGCTCGAATAATCATTGATGTGTTCAAAGAGGGGTAAACAACATAAAAATGCACTTGTGTTAAGGAAAACCTGCACAAACCCCTAGTGATTTTATTGCGTTGTGTTTCATCCCCATATTTATGTTAACATTGTACACCTTTAACTATGGAGAAAAAATCCTATAAGTTTTTGTAATTGAGAAGGTTTGGTGCATGTTTTCATTTAAAACTTGAATTGTTTTCTTAAATTAAGTCGAACGAATTTATTCAATTATACTACTGCACTATGAAAAATGAAACATTAATAGTGTATATAGGTGAAACTTGAATGAATTTACAATAATATGAAAAATAAAAATAAAATTATAGTAGTGATGAAAGTTGGAATAAATTTAAATTTTCATATTATGTATATTCTTTTCACATAATATATGTACATCCAAGATAATTATAGAAATATATAATCATTTTACTATCAACTGTATACTTTTTTCTTAAAAAAATATTCTAAAATTAGAAGCGGAAAATTAAAAGATTTTTTCGCTATTTAATTTAAGAAATGTACCATGTGAGTTTTAAATAAATAAATAAATTTTGCATAAATTCCTGTTAGTATTGTAGAAAACATGCACCAAATCCCCATTTGTGTTACAAAAATACTTGCATGAAATCTGCAATTAAAGATGTTAATTGTTAACCAAATAGGGGGCTTCATGCAAGATAAAATGAAATAAAGGAAGGTTCTACGCAATCAAAACCAATTCACAAGTGTTTGGTACTTTTAACACATGTGATTTCATGGTGTTTAATTACTTAAGTACCCCTTAAAATAGAGTAATTATTATATTTGTGATACTATTTTGAATTTTTCATACCTCTTCCGTAGACTCGGAGTATACGCTAGTTGCACAAGTGATACAGTCACATGGTAACCACAACAGGTCACTGCCAGGGGCAAGCGCCACAAGAAATTTCAAAGCAGGGGTACCCACGGTAATAAATGAATAGTGCACGCTGCAAATTACATAAAAAAAAAATTAAGCGGTTAACAAAGAATGACATTAATTAATAGTTAACATAAAGGGTAAATTACACCCTCACCCCTGAAATATGCTAAAATAACTTTAAGGTACCTGTGGTATTGATAATTGCACTCACCCCCTGAAATATAGTTAGAAACTCTAATGGGATAATTCATTGGATACGTTATTCCGATAGATTTATAATGAGCTATTACTTTTAGCTAGTGGTGCAGTGACATGGCTCCCCCAACATTTCTTAAATCACGCATATCTCTTTACTGTCTCCACCACTTCATGTAACTAATAGTCCGTTAGAATACGATCGGAATAACATATCTAATGTATTATCCCACTAGAGTTTCTGACTAAGTTTCATGGGGTCAGTATAATTATCGATACCACAGGGATTTTAAAGTTATTTTAGCATACTTAGGGGTGTGGATGTACGTAATATACCCTATACATTAAATTAAAAAAGTATATACACCAAATTAATAATTAGAACAAAGAAAGAAACAACATACTGTCCAAGGTCGTTGTTATTGTGACTCTCGTTTCCACCAAAGAAAGTGACAGGTGCTTTTGCGGCGGTGGCGAGGCGGCGGGCCTTGAAGAGATGATGATCGCGGTAGGCCATGGCGGAGTAATATTCGACGGTACCCTTCTCCGGCAATTCATCGACATTCAAGAATTGCTTGACGGTGTCGGAATATCTGTGGTGGATATCGAACCCGAATGTCTCAAAAGCTTCGCCGCTCTTTGCATTAATCCAACACGTAAACGCAATTAGCATCAAACAGTAACTCCCAATTACTGAACTCATCTTAATTGAAGACATCATCACTAATTAATTAATATAATATATACTTATAAAGTATAAAATGAGAGGTGGGTTTATCAATGGTGATGAGAATGCAAATCTTGTATGTGTTCAAGTGTATATATATATATATATATATATATATATATATATATATATATATATATATATATATATATATATATATCCCACTATTGCACGAATTTGTGTTGTAGTTGTGCGGTAAAAATGGGCAACTAGTACCCCCCATTGTGAGGGGGCACCCCCCCTAGTATGTATATATATATATATATATATATATATATATATATATATATATATATATATATATATATATATATATAGGTTCAGATGGTGAAAGACATTATAAAACAAAGTAAAAATAGAGTTGAATTAGTCAACAAATGAATTTGAAAGATTATAGAGACGACGAAGATGCGATCTTGGTCAACTTTCATAATATGAAATTGGAAGATTAAACAAATATTTCACGTCTTCTGCACTTTCTTTTTTCTCCTTTGATAATTCGCATTCTTCCGCACGCCGTTTGGAAAAAATGATGATGATGATGATTATTATTATTATTATTATTATTATTATTATTATTATTATTATTATTATTATTATTATTATTATTATTATTATTATTATTATTATTATTATTATTATTATTATTATTATTATTATTAGTTGATGATGTATAAATCACTGTGATAGATTTGACGGGAACACATGCATGGTAGATTTTTTGTACGTGAGCAGATGATCTAATCACACAGAAAGGAAGACTTGGCTATCAAACCTGTGAAACAAACGCATATGAACTAAGCCAAGATTGATCCGTTCGAAATCACTCCGATGCTCAAGTCAGATGCTAGTATTAAGAATAAGTTAGAGAGCACGAGATCAATAAAAATCAAGAGATTTGCTAAAATATACCTTTTACAATGAGGTTGATGTATTATTTATAGTTAATTAATGGTAGACTCCTAACTAGAGTATAAATCTAGTTGAACATAGATTAAAACTCTATATGATTGACTTGAGTCCTTAATTCTCGTTCTTTTGAGCCTTAACTTCTGGTTAACTTCTGGTCGCATACAGTAAAATAACTAGTGGACCTATTAAATGCCCACTTTGGTGTGTGGGCTCGAGTCCGTTATCAGGTAGGCTGTTGGACTTTTGAATTTCGGCCCACATAGTTGTATAACTAGTGGACCCATTATATTAACATTCTGGCCCATTTATCGGAATATTTAGTAGGCTCTGGTCCACTTAGCCGTATCATTAAGCCCTTCACTCTTGAGCGAATCGGGGAACTCGAGTTGCGTCAAAAGTACCGAATGTGACTAGGGGTGGAACTTCCCCGTAGTCTATAAGTTGGTGGGGGATTGCAAATAACCGTTCATTTCCTTATTGTAGGTTTTGGAAAATCCTCTATAAGAAAGTGTATTCTTTATACATGATGGTTAAGTATCATTTTCTTACTTTATATTTTTATGTTTTATGTGTTCTGTAGCTTGGCAATTTATTTCTCTCTAGAATTCTTCCTATTCTCCTCTCATCTTGTCTTGAGTGTTCATGGAGAGATCAAAAATCATGATCAAATTCGAGATGGTGGAAATGGGGGCGGAGGCCCGTCGACTATCGAGTTGGGTAGTGGTAGCGGCGTGGGATAGGGGCGGTTTGGTGTGCCGTCAGCAAGTGGTGGAGGCGCTGGCGGCGCTAGTTTAGGTGGTGGGGGCGTCGTGGGGCAGGAACTAGGTGTAGCGCCGCTAGCGAGTGGGGGAGGCGCTGGCGGCATGCTCGGTCATGCAGAGGTAGCGGAGCCGGAATTGTGTTGGGCCAAGTTTTTTCGAACCGGAACAACGAGGGGAGTTAAACACACAGTGCTGTGACGTGCGATGGATTTTGGCGTTTCGAAGTCGTTTAGGCCTTCAAAACGACGTTTTTGCTATTTTAGGAAAATTATAAATAATTCATAATTAATTCTAGAAAATTCGGATTTGAATTCCGCAAGTTGAGATGTTTCCAATTTTCGGTATTCTACTAGGTTTAGGAGTTATTTCGTTTTTTTGCCTTTTTGGGTAAATTTCTCGTTTTTCGACTAGGGTTTTTCGTTTTCTTTAATATAAATAGTTGCTCTAGGGTTTATTTTTCAGCATCTTTAATTATCAATAAAATTTATGAGTTTTCTCTCAATTATCCGGTGGATTCCAGAGTTATCGTAGAAATTAATTCTTCACCGTGCTTCCGTTTTGCGTCACTCGAGGTGGGCGGTGCGAGAGGAGCGGGTGGCACGAGCGGAGAGGGCAGCGCTGTCGGTGTGGGCGGCGCGGGCGGCGTGATTCGAGCGGCAGGCGTGGGTGGCACGACTCGAGGGGACGACGCAGGCGGCGCTATTGGCGCGGGTGATGCCTGGCGAGAGGCAAGCGGCGTGCGTGGTGGCTCGGGATTGTTGGGGTTTGGGGGTTTTGCTAGCAGGCCAACCGGTGGGTTCTCTGGTTCCGGTAGTGTCGTCGGAGTGGGTGGAGATGCTGTTTTTCACCGGTGCACCGCTGGAGGCGGGATTGTAGAGTTCGACGCGCCTCGTTCTGGAAAATGAGAATTCGCGAGTTCCTTTTGTCTAAATAGAATTCGATTCACGATAAGAAAGTGGGCTCTCCTTTTCACTTCATTTCATGCAGAGCCGGTCCTGAGAATTTAGGGGCCCTAAGCGGAGTTTAATATTATCGCTTTGGTTTTCTTAAATAGTATCTAAATTATATTGTTATTGATACACATTTTAACAAATATCTTATTTAATAAACAATTTTTTTTTTCTACATAATGATATATGCATCTATTTCATGCATAAACAACACATTACGGGGAGGAAAAAAACAATCGTTAATCAAAATTATTAAAAGTACATATATTGATCATTATATTGTCCGTCTCAACCGACAACAGTTTGTTTCAATCTTTTTGTGATATGGATGTTTGGTTTAAGATTTAATTATAATCTTAAAAACAAATTAGCATATACATTTGGATATTAATAACATACTATAAGTAATTATATAATTCATTTATAAACAATTTATCTACAAAACACAATATTTAAATTGGTCTTTCTTTATATTTTTTGAATAGTTGAGATTATAAAATATTCCATTAACATATAGTTTAAATAGCATTTAATAAAATATTTAAGGACTAAAATGTGCTATATAACTAATTATTGGGACCATATAGTGGTTTATGAAACAAATTGTGGGGCCCCTTTGTGGGGTGGGGCCCTAAGCCATGGCTTCCCTGGCTTACCCCAAGGCCGGCTCTGATTTCATGAACAGTTTGGAGTTTTTGTTATGTGTAGCAACCATAACTGAAACAATCGGTGTGTTTATTGCAATATGCTCTGTTACTACACTAAGTTTCAGTTTGGAAATGTTGATGGGATCGATAAGATTGATTGAGTTGGTCGGGATAACATTGTCCATGATAATATAATTTGTGATTTTCTTATCTTACTTTTGAGATTTGTGATTATACAATCTAATAAAATCCAACAAAAAAAATTCATAAGAAGGCAAGATAAGCCACGATTATATAATTTTGGCGGGTCGACTCAACAATTTATTGGGGATACCAAACATCAAATTAAGTCCAACTATTTAGTTAATCATGGCATATCTTGACAACCAAACGGGACCTCATTGTACTGTTTAGCCTAACAAGTAACAAGTCTTGATTAAATTGTACATCAAGTCATATCTTAATTCCCAAACGATGCCCTAGAGTAGTATAGCCTAACGATAAGTTCACTTCATATGCAGGAAGAGGATGTAGACATTATCATGCATCATACGCTCGGTGCGATCGACTCTTCAAGAAGGTGCTTATGCCTTCTTTTATATACACGTAAATTTTCCTTCTATAATATATAATTTTTTTTAATCTGGACATTTATTTAGTCTAAAATGATTTCTTGTGATGATAAGCTGAAAAAACGGATAATTTCGAACACTGCAGAGATTGGTTAAAAGAACCTAAAACTTCAACTGAAAAGGTACGACAAGCGTTCCATACTTGTATATCCTTGATGAAGATTCTGATGAAAATTGAGCAAATATTTGCTCGGTAATGAAATAATCTATTTTTGATGGATTTTATTATGAGAATGAATTACAAAATTGAGTTCATTAATTTTTTCGTCGTAACAATTTAAATTAATATTCGGGAAAGATCTTAAGTCATAGTAATATTTTTCACGGCCAGCTCCGAATTTCAGGTAAGCATAATCAACCCTACACTAGATCTCAAGTCCGAAAACTGGGAATCAACTGTACTATTTTCAAGATACAAAATTAAGACAAATGACAAATTCTTATTGTAAAAAAATAACAGATATTTTCAACCAAGGAATAACGGCAAGTCAACTCGAGTAAAGGAATTAACACGGTGTTTGAAGTTTTATTGTAGAGTTCAAACATATCACTCAAATAAGGCGAAATGTACTTGGTAATAAGAAACTCATTCAGAAAGAACGATGAAGTTGTGAGAGAAAACGGCGAGTATCACTGCCACAATTCCGGTAGTCATGGAACTCAAACGGGTGGCACCGTTTGTCGGTGGTGGTGGTGGTGGTGGTTGCGATGGACGTGGACGAGTGGAGTTTGGTTGTAGAGTTTCCGACGAGATGGAATCATAGCCTGAGATATATAGTTACGAAAAGGCATTTCAAATTCATTGCATGCTCACGGAGACACACACACACACACACATTTATATACATATACAAGTTAAACCTTTATAAATTAATACATTCGGGACTAGTAATATTCTATTAATTTAGCCAAATATCAAAGTATCAAACTAAAAATTTGGTACGTCTTTACCGAGTTGGAATCGGAATAAATTATTATTTAAGCGATGTTATTAATTAATCGAGGTTCTACTGTATATGCATCAGTTGCCAAAGAATGAAGAAAGCAGAAATAGAAGAAATCGACTCACAGTTAGCTTCTTTCCAACCCAAAACCATCTCCTCACGATCAAAGACTAAGCGGTAACCTTCCATATAATTTTCTGCGAACAAATCGAAAAAGTATTAATATAGTAAATTCATGAGAAAAATATCAACATAATATATGCATGGTTTACAAATACTCACGTCCAATGACGTTAATATCCTCGCTTTTCTGAATAGCCAAACAATATGCATTTATACCCTGCATATGAATAGAAACCTTAGCACTTTTTCCGCATGAATTTTCCCATACATTTATCCCGTAAAAATTCTCACCGGTCGTATAAGCCTAACCGTTGGTGCAGTAACGTTAAATTGGCTTCCGCCTTTCATTGTGAAGGTCAAGTTAGGGGTTATATAGCTATCTTGATTTGCACTGCATGACAACATAAATTATGAGGCAAAAAATGAAACACAAAAATGATAAAAATGCTCGGAAAAAGGTTGTTGCGTAATTAACTGAGACCTGAGTAAATAGCAGTAGTCGAAATAAACCTTGGGTTGAGGTTGGTAACGTGGATGAGTTACTTGAGAATTGAACTGCGTGCATAAGAAGAAAGTATATCAGAATGCTAAAAATTACGAAACATCTGGACAATATAATAACGTGATGTTACTTACGCTCTGTATAACAAACGAGTAAGTTGGGTCGTTCAGTTGCGTAAATGTGGTACCAGTGTCGAAAATTGCGGTGAACCCAAGATTGGAGACATTATTACCCACAACAACTTGTGTCACAGATATATTGTAATTTGTGCTGCCAGAAAGCAGGGAAGATAAATAATACATATATATATATATATATATATATATATATATATATATATATATATATAGAAAAAACGACTGACAATTTACTTACTGAGATTGTTGAAGATTAAAGGGAGTTGTTTTTTGTAGTGGACTTCCTTTATCTCCAAATTCAATTCTTCCTTGTCCATCAAATCGAAAACACATGGAGAATGAATTTGCTATAGCACCTTTTTTAGCTAAAACGCTAGGGACGGATATATTGTCCATACCAAGCCCGAATACACCATTAATACCACCACGGTCCAAGAAAGAGCCGGTTTGATTTTGTCCACATCTGAAGCACAAGATATATTAAATCTTATTACGGAACAAATTATAGGCAGTGAAAAGACCATGTTAACAATGTTACAGTTCTCCAACATCAACAAGAACACAAAGCACCAACCCTAATGTAACAGTGACATCGTAAGGATCTTGTGGGTTGGTATTTGTACCCAAATGCAAAACATCGTCTACCAATATCCCGCTACTCGAGGCGTTGGCTCGTACTTGTTGGTAAGAACAAGCATTAAACCTGGCAGAGCATCCTCTAGTGGGTCCACACAAAGTGCTGTTACATGGAAGTGGAGTGCTAGTTGTTGAATTACTAGGACTGTATATCTCTAGTTCGATTTTCTGTTACATTGGAATTAAGTAAGAATAATAAAGTATAAAAAAGTTAAAATCGATTAAATACCCGCAAATTGAATATGTTACCTTTCCTGTAGTGGTGTTGAAGCTACGTGCACACGTAGTGCAATCACATGGTAACCAAAATAGGTCAGTGCCGGTGTCGAGTGCCATGATAAATGTCATAGCAGGGGTACCCACGGTAACAAATGAATAATGCAAGCTGCAAATGAACAGAACAAAGTGTGATGATGTTTTAATGGAAATAAATATAACTACTTCAGTTTTCTAAATTAGAAAATTACTGAAACAGATATCCCTGAGAAGATAGGTAATTAACATAATTAAGAAGTAATAATGCATTAGAACTAGGGTAAAAATCGGATGGAATGGATCAGAAATGGCTTTTTCGGAGAATTTTCAATTTTTTTCGGAAGTACAAATGGGTTTCAATTTCCGTTCCAAAAAAATCGGAATGCAAAAATTCATTCCAGTTTCGGAATGCCTCGGAATATGCTGAATTTCGGAAATTACATTAATTTATAATCTCTTGTTCCAAATTCGGATATACTGGGAATTTTCAGAGACATTTTATCTTCTTTTTTGAAATTTAGAAGTAGAATTCAAGAAAATCCAAAAATGAGTTCGAAAAAATCGGAATTTCCGGTAATTTTATACACCATTTCGATTCCGTTCCAAATAAATTCGGAAACATTGGGAATCGGAATTTCGGAAATTCAAATGAAAAATACGGTTCCAAATTCGGATATTTTCATATCATAATTGGCCGAATTCGAAAATTCCATTCCAATTTCCACCCCTAATTAGAACTGCTTAGGGCATCTCTGACCGAACGCCATAACGGCATTTTTTCATCCAATTTAGGTGTTTTTAGCCTTCCACCCGAAATTTCTATTTCACCATTACATCGAAAATTATAGAGATTTGGTTTTAGCCACCCACCGTGGTCAACCCTCATATCACCAAATACTCAAATCCTATTTTTCCACCAAATTTTTTGGTGAAGGAATTTTCATCTCCCACCGGTCCACCATTTTCCTATTTTTTCCACCAAATCCTATTTTTCCTACCAAATATAGAGGTAAAAATAGGATTTGTCGTAATTAACACCATTTTATTAAGTACCATATCAAATGACGATTTTAACTAATTGCACCCCATTACCAACTTATTAACATATTTATCGTATATACATTGGTATTCATTATTAAATTAGTTTTTAAAATATAAATACATTTGTTATTATTAACAAAACATTAATTCTAATAATATAAATATGCTTATTTTTAATTAATTTGTATATTTTGTTGGTATCAATGTTTATTAGTTTATCTCTTTACTTAACTAATATGCTAATTGCTATTAATAAAATATAATAAGTAACACTAGAATGATTAACGAAACACACTTTAATAGATGAAATACAGGACGAGACATTTATAGACATTTAATAGAATGATAACATAATTTTTAAATTATATAGTTAAGAAAATTTATTACTTAGCATTTGGATCTATAATTAATATTTAGGAAATAAAATATTATAAAATTACGATTAACATTAGATTTACATTTTTGGGGCATATATGGTGAAATGCCATGGGAAACCAAATCAAATCTCATTTCCTACAAGTGGTGAAATGGTGAAATATTATTATTTTAATATTTGGTCTAAATTTTGGTGAAACCCATTGGAGACAAAAAACACAATTTTTCAACAAAAAATGGTGGAAGAGTAAAATGGTGTGCTACCGGTGGGAGATGAACCCATTTTTTCACCACCATAAATGGGATTTGGTGAAAAAATGGTGAAACCGGTCGGAGATGCTCTTACAAACGTACATACAGCACAAAATTAAAGCAATCGTATAGCTACTTACTATCCAAGAGCTCTGACACGCTGAGTTTCATTTCCACCATAGATAGTGAGGATGGGGGTAGAGGTGGCGAGGTGGCGGCCCTTGAGGTGCCGATCGCGGTGGGCCACGGCGGAGTAATATTCGACGGTACCCTTCTCCGGCAATCCATCGACATTCAAGAATTGCTTGACAGTGTCGGAATATCTGTGGTGGATATCGAAACCGAATGTCCCATATGCATCGCTGCTCTTCGCATTAAACCAACACGCAAACACAACTAGCATCAAACAACTCCCAAATACTGAATTCTTAAAACACATGATTAATAATTACTTTATTGGAAAAACAAAGGAACCCCCACAAAAATAAAAACACTAGAGAATTAAGTTAAACCAATCTCCTCCTATTATTGAAGATAATGCATGACATTATAAGAAAGAGAAATTCGGAGAGTTGAAACATGTGTCGACTTGATCAATTCAAATACAACTGGAGAGTAGAGAGAGAGAGAGTGGATAAGAAGAAGAAGAAGAAGACAACGCGATCATCATTCACCTTCATAATATGAAATTGGAAGCCGAAAAGTCAACGACAATGGAGGCAAATTCCATTGTTTAATATTTATCTTTTTTTTTTTTTATCTAAAAAGTCTACACTTTGCAAGAGCAACTGCTAATCTGGCAAAATTCTTCCTGGGGTTAACGAGCTTCGCACTTGATACGACATACAATTTAATATATTATTTAATTAATTATTTAGTTAGTATTTTATTATTAATTAATTAGTATAGTATAATTAGATTGAATATAGCCGTGAGTTAGTAGTGGTTAGGAGATTATTTAGTATTTTATTAATATAGGTAATTATCTTTCCTAGTTAGATTAGGATTCTAGGGTTTTATTATCTTTAAATAGTCGTCTTGTGCTAGGGTTTTATTATGAAGAGAGAAATATCAAAGAATAGATCTTACGTTTCGTAGGAAATATTTATGATACTCAAGAGATCGCATCAATTGGTATCAGAGCGAAGTTGCGATTAACACCAACGCTTCGTTAGCAAGGCAGCGATTACATCAAAGCTACGCTGGAGCAAAGTTGAGATCACATCAAAACTTTGTGAAAATCACGATGTCAGAAACAAGACGGTTAGAGCGATTGGAAAAATCCGTAGAGAAATTACGGATTAATTTTCAGAAATTGCTCGAACAAAGTCAAGGACGACGTCAACGCCATCACAAAAGCCGAAGGGACCGCTGCCCGTCACCGCCACGGCCATCGCCACCACCGCCACTGCCAAGCCTATCGTCGGAGGGAGAGGAAGAAGACGATGATGACTTTTTCGAAGAGCCCCAATTTTTTGTGAGTTCGCCGAAAGAAGAATTATGGGATTCAGTTGAAGTAATTTGGGATGAAGACGAGAAACCAACCAAGGAGGAGAACGAAGAATCACTCGTCTTAACTGAGGTAATTTGGGACGAAGATGATGAATTAACCAAAGATGAGAATGAAGAACTACAATGGATATTGGGAGATTTCCATGATGTTGAAAGGAAAAAAGACGAACAAGAATTGGTGATTGTGAATGAACCGGAATCTGAAAAGGTAATTGAAGAGGCTTATTTATCGGGAAAAATATTGAGAATCTTTCCAAAAGCCTTTAGGAGTTCGTTCGATCAACATATACAGTGTGGTAAAGATCTTGATCGTTCATCATGTTTTCCGGAGTCAGAGTCGGAGTCAATCGGGAAGCAAGTCGATGAAGTCAAACATAGGTGGAAACGCAAATTGACTCGAACCTTGAGGACAAGGTTCATTTCAAGAGGGGTGGTTTGATACGACATACAATTTAATATATTATTTAATTAATTATTTAGTTAGTATTTTATTATTAATTAATTAGTATAGTATAATTAGATTGAATATAGCCGTGAGTTAGTAGTGGTTAGGAGATTATTTAGTATTTTATTAATATAGGTAATTATCTTTCCTAGTTAGATTAGGATTCTAGGGTTTTATTATCTTTAAATAGTCGTCTTGTGCTAGGGTTTTATTATGCAGAGAGAAATATCAAAGAATAGATCTTACGTTTCGTAGGAAATATTTATGATACTCAAGAGATCGCATCAGCACTCTTCTACTCTTACTTTTCTCCTCGGCAAATTATTATCATAAAAGAAATAGCTATTACAATGAATATTGTATTTATATGCCATCAACTGCTGACATCTTGACATCTTAACAGTTAACGTTAGGTCCTGACAGCAGGTTTATGACATAGAAATATATAGAGATATATATATATATATATATATATATATATATATATATATATATATATCAGTTTTTCTACCGGCGAAATAGGCAATACTTCTCAAATGGAAAATATTTTGAATTAAAGATAATTGACTTTAAAACATTTTTGCCTACATTCAAATTTTATTTTGATTTAGTGAGATCCACGCTGAATTAGTGCGAGAAGACAAAAATATCTTCAACCACTATAAACATAAATCATAATTATTTGTCTCCACTTCTATCACTTTCATCTCCCTCTCTTATGCACCCCTCCACCTAAATCTCTCAATTCTCTCCGAAAATTTCGACCTTTCTCCATCGTCGGCGCCGCCTCCTTTGTTTTCACATAAATTATCTTTCTTTCTTGTTCGTTATCTATCTCGATTTCTCTTTTTTTTTCCAGATCTGTACACCACCAACACCGTCAACGCTCGTTGCCGCCGCCGTCGCCTCCTTAGTCTTCACGTAAATCTTTTTCTCTCTTTCGATTTCTTTGTCTTTTTTTCTCTCCAAATCTGTACACCACCACCATCACCGTCGCCTCCTTCACTCTCTCTTTCGTTCACCGCCGCTGTCGTCAACTTCCCCTCCCTCTTTTTCGTTATCTTTCTATATCTATTTCTTTCTGTATCGATTTCTTTTTTTCCTCCAGATCTGAACACACAGGTTCAGATTTGAGCACCAACAGTAACATGACTATAGTCATATTTGAATATGACTATTGTTGAAGATGACTGTTGTCATATTCGAAAATGTTCTATCTTCTCGTTTCAAGTTGACTTATGATAACAAAATTCAAATTATAATTTTTTGTGTGGATGTTGATTAAATTGTTTTCGTGCAATTTTCATTAATATTATTGTCTTGGCTTGCAATATTACTATCTCAAATAGTAATATTGCAGTAAAAGACAGTAATATTGCTGTCACAGACAGTAATTTAACTGGCTAAGATAGTAATATTTAAATTACCGTCTCCGAAAATAATATTACTATATGAGACAGTAATTTACTGATTAATTAGTTTTATCGTTTTGGCTTGCAATTTTGCTATCTCTGACCGTAATCTTACTGTTTCTTGCAGTAATATTACTGTTTGGTATAGTAATATTACCGTTTGGGGCAGTAATATTACGGTTTTGGCAATCAATATTATTGTCTCAAACAATAATTTTGTTGTTAGTACAGTAATTTAGAGAGAAAAAAAATAAAAAATAAAAGAAATTAAAAGTCAACTCCAAAATCAGTGTGAAAAAAGAATTTCAGAAAAAAAATTATTTTCTAAAAACGAAAATGTTAAAAAATTATGAAAATATGGTAAATATGATATATTTTTTTCAAATAAGGGGTTAATGTGCAATATTGATGAAGTTATTGTACAATGAATGAAATAAATGAAAATTATATTATTGAGAGGTATTTTAGACAAAAGACATGAAATGAGTTTTTCAGGCGAAACTGTTTTGTCTGGACCTATGTGCATTTAAGTCCCTTCTCACGAGCTTATTTGTCATTTGACCTTATATAAATAGGTATGTATTCGTAATGTAAATTTGCACGTGTGGTTCCTGATCGAGCTTTTCCCGAGTTATCTAATAACATTGCTTTTGCTCGCCGTTGGTGCAATATTGGCACAAACGGTGTAAGTTTCTAAAATTATGTAAACCTAAACAACCGTAATGCATTTTTATAATTATTTTTTTCTCTACTAATTAATTTTGTACGAAGAACTATCTCATAGATAGGAGATTTTCAGTTCTGTTTCAGTAGCAAATAAGATCCCTTTTTTTTTCTCTTATTTTTTTATACCCTCATTGGTTATAGTATAGGTGTCATTTTTTCGTTTTATATCTACAGAAGATTGGATTCGGCGATCGAAATTTTGAATAGTCGAACCAATCATAAGATGTTTATTTGTCGAATCTGAAATTATGTTTAGTTCATACACAAACTATTGACAAGTATTATAAAAGTTCCACTATGGTGAACAGATCATGAAGAAAGAATGGCAAAGTGGTGGGAAGAAGTAGCAACTAACACCGTCACAAGTCCGCTAGTCAATCTTCCAACACCGTTTGTCGGTGGTGGTGGTGGTGGACTTGGCCGAGAGGAGTTTCCCTTGTTTGGCGGTAGAGTTTTCGACAATATGGAATCATAGCCTGAGATTAATAGTTTTGAATGCATTTAAAATTGAGTGCAACGAATTGAAAAGAGCAAAAAGAGATTAAAACCAACTCACAGTTAGATTCTTTCCAACCCAAAACCATCTCCTCACGATCGAAGACTATGCGGTAACCTTCCATAAAATTTTCTGGGAAGAATTCAACATTATAAATATTGAAAGTTGACGAAAAAAATCACATACACGCGAGTTTCATAGTGATAATGTCGTTTTATACATGACGTGTATTGTTGAATTTGAAATATTAGATGGAACACCATAAACAATAGAGGATTTCGTTCGAGCGAGTTGTAGCAGACATTCGTTTCTAATAGACTCAAAAGCAAAACTATTCAAGATAAGCATAATCTAAATCCGATCAAAATTTAACTATTCTTTACATGTTTTTCTATCACTCGACACATATGTAACACGGATAGGGAAACGATGATACTGGGAAACAGGAAAACGGACATGAGGAATCAGCATATCTAAAAAATAAGAATACGAGAGCTCGGGGGAAAATGTAAATATTAAAATTATAGGGGTGTAATTACATAAATTCTTTTATATTTTTTCATACAAGCATATTCAAAATAAATTTTACTATCAACTATCAATTTCCAATTGATCATTAAATCATGTAAATAACTAGGGAAGCAACAAAGATACTTGGAAATTTGCTATTCAAACATGTAAAAATGGTCCATAATTTGTCCGGCATGTGTCCTCGAGTGTCTGAAACACAGAAACTTTAAGAAGTTGAAGTTTTTCATACTACATAGCTAGACACTCAAATTCGTATCTACGTATTTTGGATGTCTGTATAGTTACAATGCAAAGGATATGGAATGCAATTTAAGCAAACAAATGGTGAAA